TAACTAGCATGTTATTAGGAAGAGATCTGAGATCGGCTCAATTTGAGAAAGGGGGAATTATTTAATGCACCATTTGTAAACTGATGTTTACTGTTCATTTTTTAGAAATATCAATAGCATTTGTATTAAAACTATATTCACTGAATGTAATAAAAAAAAATCGAGAATCGAATCGAATCGAGAGCTTGTGAATCGAAATCGAATCGAATCGGGACATCTGAATCGATACCAAGCCCTAGTTGTGTACACACACTGCCAACACACATTTCAGTTCAAACTACTTGTGGCAAAGAAAAACTACTCTGAAAAGCTAAAAAAAACAGCTTTCAAGCAATGACCCTACATCAGTGTGGAATGGCCTGAAAGCCATCACCAGCTACAAGACCCCATCCCCCAGCACTGAGGCCAATCAACAACTAGCTGAAGACCTGAACGAGTTTTACTGCAGGTTTGAAAAACAAAAGCCTGGTCTGACACCCCACAGCCACTCTGACCGTCTCACAACACTGTTATCAACACCCTCCCCCTCCCTCCCCCCTACTGCTTCTCAGCCTGCACTTAAGATATGTGAAGATGATGTACGCAAAGTCATCAGGAAACAGAAGATAAGAAAGCCAAAGGCCCAGACGGTGTCTCTCCAGCCTGCCTCAAAGCCTGTGCTGTCCAGCTGTCATCCGTCTTCACATTGATCTTCAACAGATCACTGGAGCCGTGTGAAGTACCTTCCTGCTTCAAACGCTCCACCATCATCCCTGTACCCAAGAATCCAAAAATCACAGGACTAAATGACTACAGACCTGTTGCTTTAACATATGTGGTCATGAAGTAATTTGAGAGGCTCGTGTTGGCATACTTGAAGGACATCACTGGACGCTTACTGGACCCCCTGCAGTTTGCTTACCAAACAAACAGGTCTGTGGATGACGCAGTCAACATGGGACTGCACTACATCCTCCAACATCTGGAAAAACCAGGGACTTATGCAAGGATCCTGTTTGTGGACTTCAGCTCCGCTTTCAACACCATCATCCCGGATATCCTTCTGAATAAACTAACACAGCTCTCTGTACCCACCTCCATCTTTCAGTGGATTAGCCAAGAGCAAAAAGTTGGGCTAAGAGACTAATTTGTTTATGACAACTTGCAGTGTTACATGTCATCGAAGCTGAGAAAAGAACACAACACTGCAGACAACAGGTAAATGCCGTTATCGCTGTTTTTCATGTTCGTGGAGTAAATATGCTTACATGGCTTTTTAAAAATGTCGGGTGGCCGGTGTTTCGCGTGCGTTTGGCCAATCAGCATACACTTACGTCACTGATAGTTCCTATAGAACTGTTTTAGACCCTGCTCTGAAGTAGGAGCTAATTTAGTTCCTCCAAACAGATTTCCTAGAACTAAAACCTATTCCTGAGGTGCGAACACGCCAAAAAGTGGGTAGTTCCACAATTAGTTCAGGTACTATGAAAAGGTTCCCGCGGTGCGAAAGGCCCTTATGTAAGTCAGTGGCTACCATCACCTGTTTGGTTACCCACATTCTTCAAAATATCTTCTTTTGTGCTCAACAGTATAAATAACTGTCTGGTTTGGGTCAGCCAGCAAATCAGATATAAGAAGACTCAGATATAAGTCTTATTGAAATGTTTCAGTTCTCATGTTAGATATGTATGTATTTATGTATGTATGCATGTATGTACCAAGAGCTCCTTAAAAAAACCCACAACAAATTCCTTGTGTGTTTGTGGGATGTAACGATTACCGGTTTGACGATAAATCATGATAAAATTCCCCACGGTTAACTCGCGTGCGGATTTCTTTTGCTCTCGCACAAAACCGGACGCGCGTGCTCAGATACATGCTGCTCTCGCCCGGAGAGAGTGCGCACACTTAAAACGTGTCTCTCCTCTCACTCAAACTGTGTCCTCAAAAAAAACTCCCAATAAATGTCTAAACAGCGATGCTATTAGGGCATTTATTGTATTATATCTTGCATCATTTACATCTATTTTTGCATTTGATGTTGATTTGAGGAGTAGTTACTTATTGTCATCATACCAACTGAGAATTTATTGCAATGATTTTAAATTCTAAATGAAGTTTTAAATGAGGTATCTGACATATTATGACATAACATTGATGTTTTATATGAAGTTTTTAGACACAAAAATACAACAATAAAAAATAAAGGAAAGGCCCTGCACAAATCTGTTTTGAGACTACTTTTTGAAAGTGCATAATGATAACTTTTGACAACGTTTAATTCGGGTGCTAAAATAATTCATATCTAGTGCATGAGCACAGAGATTGGAGAGTGCACAGGACACAGTTTGAGTGAGAGGAGAGACACGTTTTAAGTGCGCGCACTCTCTC